GGAGAGCATGATTCTCCCTCTCCTTTGTCCCTTTTGTCCCTCCCTGCATGTGCTCTCTCTCCCCCTCTCTTTCTCAAATAAATAAAATCTTTAAAAAATAATAAAAGGATACAATTTTCTTAAGACTATTTGGTCTATTCTTGTTAATTTTCTGAAAAGTTTTTTTTTGTTTTTTTTTTTTGGTCTTATTTTTGTTTCTAATTTAGAAAGCAAAGTAACCTGCCTGGACACTAAAAATTTTGCATTTTACCAAAATAACTTACTGTACTTTATATTGTCCTTATCAGGAGTTTGATTAAGAAGATCCAGTCTTCTCTTTTAAGATTTTATTGGGGCGCCTGGGTGGCTCAGTTGTTAAACATCTGTCTTCAGCTCAGGTCATGAATTCAGGGTCCTGGGATTGAGCCCCATGTTAGGCTTCCTGCTTAGAGAGTCTGCTTCTCCCTCTCCCAACTCCTCCTGCTTGTGTTCCCTCTCTCTGTGTCATTCTCTGTAAAATAAATAAAATCTTAAAAAAAAATTGAGGTTTTGAGGAAAAGATTTTTAACAAATAAGATTTCATTTATTTATTTGAGAGAGAGAAAAAGATAGCAACAGACAGCCTGAACGAGACAAGTGAGCATAAGCTGAGAGGAGAGGGAGAAGCAGAATCCCTGCTGGGCATGGAGTCTGATGTGGAGCTCCATCTTGATCCCAGGACCCTGGGATCATGACCTGAACTGAGGGCAGTTGCTTAACTGAGCTACACAGGCATTCTTTGTTGGGTAACGTATAAAGTATGTATCTAATCAGAATGCTATGGGTAACAGGCCAGGGAGAATAAAGGAAGAACATAGCAAATATTTCCTAAGTACTTTTTTTTTTTTTTTTAAAGATTTTATTTATTTTATTTGACAGATAGAGATCACAAGTAGGCAGAGACAGGAAGAGAGAGAGAGAGAGAGAGGATGCAGCAGGCTCCCTGCCGAGCAGAGGCCTGTTGAGGGGCTCAATCCCAGGACTCTGGGATCATGACCTGAGCTGAAGGCAGAGGCTTTAACCCACTGAGCCACCCAGGCACCCCCCTAAATACTTTTTTTCTGAGTAATGTACTTCTCAAAGGTAGCAGGATAGCTTACTTGAGGTCAACCTGAAGCAGTCTGGGTATGGAGTGGTTTGCATTCTGAAGATGAAATTCCCAACTACTATGAAAGCAGAAAGACCCTAATGGTGGGTCATTTTAGGATCATGGCTGCAAAACTGTCAGTGCACAACAGGTTAGAACCAGGATAAAACAGGCAAAATAGAAGGGTATGAGATGTGCAGGAAAGGAAGGGTTTGTGGATGGAAATTGTGGCTTTATTAAGTGATCTTTTAGGCTGTACTGATTTATTAAGATGGAAAGAAGGTTTCTTCAATGTTTACCCATCTTCCCATAGCATGTATTAGATAAAACAAGCTATAGAGTCTGCAGTAATATAGTACCTCCTTTGCAATGTTTTCCATCTTTCTATTTCCAATGTTTAAGGCTACTGTGGGAAATAAGGATATAGGGTAGACTTTAAATAAGCCAAAGTAGGGATTGTTAAAAGTTGGTGATCAGTGGAGGCATGCCATTGGATTTACACTAATGATTTTGAGAAGGGCTAAGGAGTGGACTTCAGTTTTCAAGAGGGGTCAAAAATTGTATGGCAAGAAGATTCTTAGTCTGTTTTCTTAGATTACCTGTCTTGGAGCCAACATCTGTACTCATATAACAGTCTTTCCTACATTGTAGCATATTTATATCTGTCTTAAGCTTCTGATGATTGGTGTCCAACTGGACACAGGGGACAGTGTTGATAAATAAAAAAAAATCTTTTTACCCATTTTCTAATTTTTTTAAGTAGGCTCCATATGGGCCCACACTGGAACCTAACATAGGTTAGGTTCTCTCCACCCTGAGAGATTAAGACCAGAGCTGAGATCAAGAGTCCAACCCTTATCCAACTGAGCTACCTGGGTGCCCCTTTTTCAGACTTTTTTTTTTTTTTTTTTAAATAAGCTTTGTACCCCACATGGGGCTTGAATTCAAAACCCCAAGATCAAGAGTTGTACACTCATCCATGTGTGCCAGTCAGGGACCCCCAGTGTTCTAATTACTCTCAAGCAATTAGCATTAAGGTGGCACTTGGCAGAAATCAGCATGGAAGCCCATAGTAATAATTGGAATGTGCTGAATAAGAGAGATATAAATTGGGGGCACCTGGGTGGCTCAGTGGATTAAGCCTCTTTGGCTCAGGTCATGATCTCAGGGTCCTGGGATCGAGCCCCACATCGGGCTCTCTGCTCAATGATCGGGCTCTCTGCCTGCCTCTCCTCATACTTGTGACCTGTCAAATAAATAAAATCTTAAAAAAAAAAAAAAGATAAAATTTGCAAATTACCTATTACCTGGAAAATGATTTACAGCAAGACCAGATGAGTCATTTAGACGGTTTGTGTTCTATCAGTTGAGAAGTTCTGGTAACTGCTGTCCAGAGTGTGATTAAAACTCAAGCATCAGGGCGCCTGGGTGGCTCAGTGGGTTAAAGCCTCTGCCTTCAGCTCAGGTCATGGTCCCAGGGTCCTGGGATCGAGGCCCGCATCGGGCTCTCTGCTCAGCAGGGAGCCTGCTTCCTCCCCTTTCTCTCTCTGCCTGCCTCTCTGCCTACTTGTGATCTCTGTCAAATAAATAAATAAAATCTTAAAAAAAAAAAAAACCCTCAAGCATCAGTTTTCTCACTGTTACAAGGTTTTGCCCTCCTATCAAGGTAAGTTAGTCTGGTTCAAGTGGTTGCACATAAAAACCAGTGTTGATTTGCATCAGTAAACAGAAAACCCTGATGATAGAGAACCTAAATCTTTTATAATGGGTAGTAGGTAAACTCCAATTTTTGCCTAGAAATATGCATTATCTTTACATATGAACAGGAAAAGAAATATGCTCATCCCAGAGGGATGCTCTAGAAAAAGTATCACACACACAAAAATGTGCAAAAAATGTTAGAAATGGCCTTACTACCCAATATCCAGGGTTTCACTGAATATCAAGACCAGTTACAGGCTAACAATTAGTACTCTGGAGCTCAGTATGAAGCAACTGAACTGTTTTTGTTGCTTTTTCCAAACACGCTATTATCTCGTCTCTTTAGCTCTATCAACTTATGTTATGGATATGTCTCCTTCCTAGGCTTATCCTGAAGTTTCCCTAAGGTGTGGGTTAGAGATTTAGCTTTTCCTTTTAAGCTTGTTACTAAGCCCAAAGATTGAGAGCCAACATGGGTGTGTATATACTGAGAACAGCTAAAATTCGCAGAAAATTTTACTTTTGGGTAAGATCTATATAGATTCATTGAAAGTAACCATTCACATAGAAGAACTTAATTCTCAAATATCACAGGCCTTTTTTTCTTTTCAGAATTTTATTTCTTGGTCTCTGATGTGCATTCATTTTTGCATATTGAATGAAAACCTGGGTATGCATTTTTGCTTAACATTTTTTTTTTTTAAGATTTGAGACAGTGTGTGTGCTCAAGGTGGGAGAGGGGCAGATGGTGAGGAAGAAGCAGGCTCTCTGCCAAGCCCCCAACGTGGGGCTCCTTACCAAGACCTTAGGATCATGTCCTGAACCAAAGGCAGACATTTAACCAACTGCGTCACCCAATGACCCCTGAGACATGTCTTGTCATTGTTTCCAGATTTAAGTAATAAAAACCCATCCTAAAAGTCACACCCCTTTTTAAAAACTTTAATTCCAGCTAGTGACTGAAAGTGACTGGAAGCTTCAGTCTAGATGGAGGCTCTTATTGATGATAGGAAGAATTCCTGAAGTTGTCTAAAACTTCTCAGGGGTCTAAAACCATTAATAAAGGTATCCTGAGACACCATGCTAGGCCAGTCTAGGGCAGCCAGAGATATACATATTAGGCAAGGGAAAAAAAAAACAAACCCCTGAAACCCCAAGATACACCATGAATTTCCCGTTGAACTAAACACTATGAAATGAAAGGTCAGGGAGTCTCAGGTGTGTATACCTACAACATAGGCATTAGACTCATTTCTTTGCAACCTCAGTTAGAGGGTTCCATGTCAGAATAAGCAAACATGAACCATTTAACTGGGTAGTTGCTGGGAAAGCAAAGTTGGGAGCAGTTTCTAGCCTACATTTACATCCCTGAAACTGCTATTGAAAGCCTTAGGACTCTAGGACACCTTGCAAGGTTCCCCCCCCCCCCCTGCTAAAGATTTTATTTGACAGATCACAAACAGGCAGAGAGATAGGCAGAGAGGGGGAAGCAGGCTCCCTGCTGAGTAGAGAGCCTGATGTGAAACTTGTGCCGAAGACAGAGACTTTAACCCACTGAGCCACCCAGGTGCCCCTTGGAAAGTGTTTATAATGGGGAAGAGGTCTCCCTAAGATTGTTTCCCTTATTCCATTTGTTTCCTGCCTAGTCACATGGAAAGGGAATATCATCATGTCAGGAAACATAACAACTAAGTGCAAGAACAAGGCACTGAGGCAGTTTTCTTGGTCATCTTTCCATCCCTCTGCCACAACAAAGTAAAAAACCAACCAATGAAGTACCATAATTGATGGCAAATCTGCTTCTCCCTCTCCTGCTGTACACTCTTCTATTATCTCACTTCAAATACTTAAAATCTTCAGAAAAATAATATAGCCTATGATTTCATTTACAGAAATTTTAAGGACAAAAGCCAATCTCTGATGTTAGAAATCAGGATAGTATCTACCCTTCAGTGATGGGAAATTAGTTCTACAGAACACAAAAAATTTGAGACTGATTCCCTTAAAAAAGCCAATTTCATAATATCTATTGTATTAACATGTTAAGCTGGTTTGGTTACATCAGCTAACTGGTAGGGGCTGCTTGCCTTGATGTGTGACCAAAGTTGGAGACTGGGAAGCTATTATTCTCCAGGTTGACAGTACAATTTCATTTCTACATCTCATGATTAAGGCACAACTGACAGCAACAAGATTACGTTCAACTTTTTATTTTAGTAAAATCAGAATAAACACAGCACATGCAGTGCCAGCATCTAAAACTAATACAATAAGCAATTACTAACTTAGTGACTTGAGGTTCAAGATCTACATTCAGCAGCTTTAAATCCATACTTACTGATAAAACTGAATGTAAAAGTCACTAGTTATGACAATACACAAAGATAACCACATGTTTGAGAATTGCAAATATGCCAGACAGCCACTGTAAACCAAGCCAAACAAAAACATTAACTAAAATAAAACTCACAGAACCTTTGAGAATGTGGACACTTCATTATCAGTGTTCAGAAGTGTTTCATTAGTATTTTAAGACAAGTGTATCAAAACCTTGGCATGTTTTAATTTCAAGTTGCCAATTTTGTCTTTAACTTTTGTCAGAAAGTTACAACTAGCTGTTTCCCCAGTGCCGGGTCTGCTTAATTTGACTCAATTGTTTAATAGAACTTAACATTTAAAGCTCACACTACCCCGAAATATATTATTTCACATATGGTGACATTCAACATTCAAGTGCCAGTGTTTTTGTACTGTCTTTTGGTCAAGTTTCTTTAAACTTTCAAAGAATTCACTTTTTAGGCTTACAAAAATAAATATCTGTCAAAATGTTCAATAAATATTACACAAACTAGCAGCAAAAAGTATCTAAAATCTGTCGTGTGCAAATAGTTTTCTTCAACTACCATTCCGTGGTCCCAAATAAAATTTTAGAATCTATTTAACAAGCTGCGTTCAACAATCTCCAAGAGACAAAATAAGATTGGAAGTTTAAAGACACGCACACAACACATATATATAAAATTCTCTGAATGTGCAATAAAATAAGTACTTTGTAAAAAGTCATGGGCAAAATGTACAGGAGTCTAAACCCATACTAAGTGAAATAGCACCGTTAACAAATGACCTCAATACTGTCAAGTGCACCTACTTAATGGTTTTTAGAACAAGGCACAATATTCTTGAAAATCTATTGCACTTTTTTAAGAAAAATTTTTGCCTCCTTATGCCATCACAAAGATAGTTTTTGAGGATTACTGCATTCTGGCCACAAAATCACCACAGAATTCAAGCAGAAGAGGCATTTTTAATGGTGGATAATCATCTTTGGCCAAATTTATCATAGACTATAACTATAATGGAAACCTATGCAACTAAAATAGACTAAGACTGCAGCATATAGAAATAACATCTTATGCAGTTTACTATGTATTTCCAACCTGTGTGATCTCAAGGATTTTAGTGTTTTTGTTATCCCGAACTACAAAGTCTACAAGTGTAAGCCATTTTAACATTTCAACGCAGCTTAAAGAGTTAATGTGAATCTATATTAAAGTAAAGCCTGCTGCATAATCCCTCCTGCTCATATCCTCTTGACCAAAAAACATCAACACTAGCATGCGTTAAAGACCCAAACCGAAGCAGGCCCATAAAGACTGGTCACTACTATGGTCAACTATCCTACCATTTCAAGTTTATTTATGGCAGGCATTAAAAAATCTAATTAGATGAAATCCCCCTCAAACACTTTTGTTATCAAACCTTTAAAACTCTTCCTGTAATAGTATGCCCACATCTGCTTAGCTTAAAATTACTAACTTAAACATTAAAAGAGGAATTGCTGTATTTATTTGCATTAACTTTGAAGGATGCTTTGAAAAATGTGAATGTATTCATACATGCCACCTTATCTTGACTAGAATGGCTTATTTAAAAACTAAAAGATTCTGAGTGCCTATCCAGGATAGAGTGAGCAAGTCAGAACTGTAACTTAGTACAGACTGCCTCCTTTGAAACTAATACTGCCTTAAGATGTTCTTCCAGTCTGCAAGTACCAAGAAGTGCTAATGCAGGCTACTGCCTAAGGTTTTTTCGCCATATTATTATCTACAGATGAATTGATGATTCCTGTTAAGTTATATCACACCTGTGTGCCAAGGTTTGATTTTAGCCCAAGTTCAGGAAATTTATTTTTTCAAAACAATTGATATCTTGAGCATTACTGAGCCAACAGGACATCAAAATAATAAGTTGTCTAAAGTTAAAGTCACAGTACATTAACAAACAAATGATCCTCAGTCACAAAATTATAAATGCAGTTTGGGGTGATAATAAGCAGGAGGGGAGTTAATCCAAACTACAGCAATTATGTCTTCAACTTCTGAATAAGGCTGTTCATTGTTTCTTTCTTCTTGTGACTTTGAAGCTCCCTTAAATTTTCAGGAGAATCACAGCTGATAATGTACTGCAAGGTCTTGAAGCTATAAAATATAGTCTGGCTAAGTTACATGTGGTTTCCATATTAGCTTGTTTGAAAAGGGTTGACTTCGTTGCAAAGCAGATTCAATTGCCCCACCAGTCAACCCCCTGGGAGTTGTAATTTCCTCCATATCCATCACTATTGTAGAAGCCTCCATAGCCACCTATCAAGAAATGTTTGAAAACAGAAATTAGTTCAGCCACTTAAGTTTCTACTGGATTTTGTATTCTTGGAAATTTCTCCAATAAATTATGCTTTAAGAAAAAATAAAAAGCAGTTACTTAAGACATAAACAGGAAAAATTAACATTACCTCCACCAAATCCTCTGCTGCTATTGTGACCACCTCCACCACTACGGCTGCTGCTTGCACGACCACTACTAAAGCTAGAACTGCTGGAACCACTACTTTGTCGATAGTCTCTGGCACCAAATCCTCCACTGAATCTACTAATAAAAGGAAAATCATAGTTTATGTTTTCAACTCAATTAAACCAACAATTCCCGTGTACTTTCCAATCCTCAACTCAACTGCCATGATACTCTTGCAATAGTGTTATCTAAAATCCTGAGCCCTTAACCAGGCTGACATTTAACTCCTTAATATTTATTTTTTTAATTTATATATATATATTTTTAAAGATTTTATTTATTTGACAGAGAGAGATCACAAGTAGGCAGAGAGGCAAGCAGAGAAAGAGAGAGGAGGAAGCAGGTACCCTGCCGAGCAGATGCGGGACTTGATCCCAGAACCCTGAGATCGTGACCCGAGATGAAGGCAGAGGCTTAACCCACTGAGACACCCAGGCACCCCATTAATATCTATTTTTAATTTTTTGTCACATCTACTATCCCTTGTCAAAAATATATTAAGTAATGGCAGTGTTTTAGCTAACCCTGGACACAACTTTCTACCCAAAGCTGGTAACAATAATGAAGCTCAAAACAACAACCTGTACCTCTTAGAGCGTCCACGACTGCTACCCTTATAGTGGTGTTCATAAGCCATATTTTCTAACCAAGATGGCACTTCTTGTTTAGCTTCAACGAGCAGATCCAACAAATCCTTTGTGATATTTACGTTTCTTTCATTAAAGAATGAGGTGGCAAGGCCTACAAAAATCCAAAGTAATACATAAAACTGAGGTTTCCATAAAATAGTCTGGGCTCTTCCTTCATATATTTAACAGTAAGCAGGAATAAAAAATGTTATAATATGTGATGTAATCAAACTAGAGATTTAAACAGTAATTTTAGTTATCTGATGTCACACATCAGCTTTCCCTTGAAAGATAATTTTTAGTATTAAGGATTCTATGACAAACCATTAAATAAATCAACACTTTACCAAGGTTTCCCACACGTCCTGTACGGCCAATCCGATGTACATATTCCTCAATATCACTTGGCAAATCAAAATTGATAACATGTTTCACATTTGAAATGTCTAGTCCTCTTGCTGCCACCTGAAAAATAACTTTTGTTTAAAAAAAAAAAAAAAAGCAACATTCAAACATGCCTAACTCAAAAATAAAAATATACACACAGCTGTAGCCACTAAAATAGGGCTTTTTCCTGAGCGGAACTGGTGAAGGGCCTCCTCTCTATCTCTCTGTGATCGGTCACCATGGATACTGGTACAAGCATATCCTTCATGGTATAAGAAGTCCTCCAGAGAATCAGCACCCTTTTTGGTCTCCACAAACACTAAAGTCAGTGAATCCTTCCCTGTAAAATTAGATATAAGGTTTTGTTTACTAATAAGAACTCAGCACTTTGGTTCTTTTTGCACTCCATAAAGCAAGCACACAGAGATAATTAAAATAAGCTTTCATCATTTAGACAGGTTGGCAAAAGGGTAGGAGCTAAAGAGATCCAAGTAGATTCTCACTACACTATTATTAACTTCACCTGTTGCATTTAAGAGATCAAGAAGAAATGATCGTTTGTCTGATTCTTCCACCCAAACTACTTTTTGTGTGATGTTCTCAGAGGTGGAGCCAACTCTGCCTACAGCCAGAAAAATGTATTCATCCAAGAAATCACGAGCAAGCATCTAAAAAGGGGAAAACACTCTTAGTCTCCAACTTCTTAAAATTATCTGAAAATACTTATTTACAAATGTTCTAAAAGAACAGTAAATCATACCTGTATTTCCTTAGGGAAAGTAGCACTGAACATCATAGTGTGGCGAATACCCTTTGGTGGCATAGTATCTTGTTCAACTATACGTCGTATCTGAGGTTCAAATCCCATATCCAGCATCCTATCTGCTTCATCCAACACTAAGTATCTTTTATGAAAAATACTCACTTTAGAATTTGATGAGAAACTGACCACTGAATATAACTGTGTAATATTCATCCTAACGTGCTAGCCTTGCAAAGTAACATATGTGAAACACGTAAATCACATAACCATTATCTGACACTGTTCCAATGAATCATACAGGTTAACTGTGACTTTCAAAAATTATGCAGTTAAATTACTGTAGTAAATCTGAAGACAATCTTACTACAATCACTACAAAATGACCAGTAATATGAAAGTTCTACTCCTGTAACCAACGATGCACGGTATGCTAGAATTTAAATAAAAAAACTGAAAATTAAAAAATAAAAGAAATTACATCTTTTAAACATAAAAATTAACACTTACTTGCAAAAGTCTAATCCAATCTTTCCTCTTTCCATCATATCCACTAGACGTCCTGGAGTGGCCACTAACAAGTGACAACCACGCTCTAAGTCTCGAATCTGCTGACCAATATCAGCACCACCATAAACCACACAAGGACGAACTCTAGACCGGTATGAAAACTATAAGCAAAGAGTTTATTAGATATTCATAAAAACAACATTAGAATCAATGAAAATGGCAATAATCAGTAAAATGCATACTTACTTTTCTGGCTTCCTCATAAATTTGTACAGCCAATTCTCTTGTTGGGGCTAAAATTAAGGAGATAGGATATTGTTTACGGCGCCCGTATCTTCCATTTTCCTAAGAAATGAGAACAATTTAGAAAGTAAACTCAAAGAGCCAAAACTTTGTTGTTGTTTTTTGAAACAACTCATCACAGCAAAATTCGCTTTATAATTAAGAATTACATCCACGGTGCCTGAATGGCTCAGTCAGTTAAGCATCTGCCTTCAGCTCAGGTCATAATCCAGGTCCTGGGATCGGGTCCCATATCAGGCTCCCTGCTCGGCAGGGTGTCTGCTTCTCCCTTTCCCTCTCCTCCTGCCTGCTCATGCTCTCTTAAATAAATATCTTTTTTTAAAAATTAAGAAGTAAATAAATATAGTAAGAAAGAGGAACTAAAATAAAACACAGTTAGTATTGTTTAGAAAGAAAGGTCCCAACTAATATTTATCAAGTTTTCACTATGCTAACAACTTATTTTATAAGGAAATCAATCTTTACCTTCACAGCCTTCAAAGCCTCGCCTGGACCATCTGTGTAAATCTGACTTAAGATGGGCAACAGAAATGCTGCAGTTTTTCCAGACCCTGTTAAAAAAATAATTGTGTTCCACATTCCCTTTTAGTGAAAAAAAATTTTACCTTATGCCAAGTTTTGGGAAAAATATGGTATATTCATACAGTGAAAGCGAGAATGCCAAGTGATTCCTGTTATCTATTTTAAACAATACAATCCTCTACTCTTCAGATTTTAATTTACATGAAATCGGCATCAACTTCCCATTCTTTACTTTTTTATATCCTGTAATACTGATGGAATGCAGAACAGTTTCTGAGGTTTAACAGTAAAGGGCTTTACACAGTAGTCGGTTTCCTTTGCAGAATAAAAGGCTTGGCTGTAACTGTTTAAATGAAACTTACTTTAAAAAAACAAATCCCTCTCTGACAAATAAATAAATAAAATCTTTAAAAAAAAAAAACACAAAAAAACAAATCCCAGATTTAGCCTGAACTTCACAGTTAAACATAAAATGAAGAAATCCTTAAAGAAGAAACTTTATTACAAATGACTTAAGTTTCTTTTCTTTCTATAGACAGGAATGTTTTACATGGAGAAGTAGTTCTGCTGTCTTTTTATCACTAATTATGCCCAATTGCCAAAATATTAGGGAGAGGAGGCACAGTTACCCCCCCCATTTTTATGAATCACAAATTCTTCTCTAAGTTGAGTATTTCCTATTCCAGTTATGTAGCTAATGTTCTCCTGCATTGCATTCACAACTTTCCCTGCTGCAATAATAGCAGGCTGACAATTCACTGCACAATTCCCCAAGATGTCCTCATATATCCAAAGAATAAAAAGATACAAAAAACACTTCAACTAATGTTTACCTAACTCAGAATCAGGCTACCCACAGCTCAATTCTCCTGGTAAAAAGTACTATTTCTAGAGAAAGACCAGCTGAAATATTAACTTTAATTCTTTATCTAATTAGCTTACCTGTTTGGGCACAAGCCATCAAGTCTCTTTTTTCTTTGATAATAGGAATGGCATGTTTCTGCACTGGAGTTGGACGAGTGTAACGAGTCAGCTCAATGTTCCCCATGATAATTTCTCCCATCTCAACATCGCTGAACTATCAAGGAAACAAAAGCAAGTCAAACACAACTAGAAATGTCTAACCTGTTACAATTTCTGTGTTGTGCTACTTATGACCAAAACACCCAACCCCGAATATGCACTTTTGGTTGTGATTTTATCTGCTATAATTTTAGGTTGAAAGTACCTGAAAAAGTTCTAGGTTTTTTAAAGAAATAGACTTCAGTGTCTAAAATACAATAGAGTAACTTTTGGATTCTTTGTTATGTTTGACATTTTCTATTTCAGCATTCTTCATAACGGTGACATAAAATCTTAGTCTCTCTTTTTATAACCCAATCAAGTCCTTAAATAGTTAACAAAGAACTGTTAAGGAGTCATACAAAAACAACTTACACTTTCAATATGTGGAGGACAGTTATTGCCAGTTGCCTCTACTGGTATATCATCATATTTCTCAAAGTTTATTCCGGTGTTTCCTCCAGAGAAGAGTTCCCTAATATCAAATAATTATTACATAGTTATACTAAGTAACAAGTTTCATATCAATCAACATATATTTCAAAAACTTACTGCTCCAATCGTTCACTTGGTGGAAGTGGTTTTGACCAGTCATCGTCATCTGATTTGTCACACCAACGACTGTGTCCACTGCGTTCAAACTTGCCAAAGCTAGTCCTGTCACCACGACTGCCAATACCATCATAGTCACTCCGTCCACGATCATCAAACCTAAACAGCATAAACAATTGATACATGTCATTTAGCTTATATCACAGTATCTCTATATATCTCTAGATACATACTTGTATACTAGTTGAATTGTATCAGGAATACCTTTCAAAGATTTCAATAATTCAATAATGGCTGTCTCATTTATGAAATAATGCCCTTTAATTTTTTTTTAAAGACTTTATTTATTTATTTGACAGAGAGAAATCACAAGTAGGCAGAGAAGCAGGCAGAGAGAGAGGAGGAAGCAGGCTCCCCGTTGAGCAGAAAGCCCGATGCGAGGCTCGAACCCAGGACCTGGGATCATGACCTGAGCTGAAGGCAGCGGCTCAACCCACTGAGCCACCCAGGCGCCCTGCCCTTTAATTTTTTTAAAGATTTTATTTGACAGAGAGAGAGAGAGATCACAAATAGGCAGAAAGGCAGGCAGAGAGGGGGGGAAGTAGGCACCCTGCGAAGTAGAGCATCCAGGTGCCCCAGGCCCTTTAATTAATGGTTATGTATAATTTACACATCAATGTTTAAGAAATCCACATCCATTTTCACCTTATATAAAGTTATAGAACATCAGGTCTCTTAATCTTAAGAATTAAGTTTTGTAATGCTTATACCCAGTATGTACTTCATATTTTCATAAAACCGATAACCCAGCCATCTGGGTGGCTTAATCAAGTGGCAGATCCTTAATTTTAATCTCAGGGAGCCTGCTTCTCCCTCTCCTTCTGCTACTCCATCTGCTTGTGCGCACTCTCTCAAATAAAATCTTTTTTTTTTTTTTTTTAAAGATTTTATTTATTTATTTGACAGACAGAGATCACAAGTAGGCAGTGAGGGCAGGCAGAGAGCCTGATGTGGGGTCAATCCCAGGATCCTGAGATCATGACCTGAGTCGAAGGCAGAGGCTTTAACCCACTGAGACTCCCAGGTGCCCCTCAAATAAAATCTTAAAAAAAAAAAAAAAAAAAAAAATCACGACCAAGGAAAATACAAAGAATGAGATCACATCAAACTAAGAGTTTATTCCTAAACTGCTAGTATAAAGACATTTGCAAGCTGAGAGTAATTTACCTTCCCCTTGGTCCACTTCCACGATCACTGAAGTAATTGGGCTTTCCTCTTGAATCTCGAGACCCAAAACTGCTGTAGACGTCCTTATCTTTACTACAACTCCACCCTGAACTGTCTTTATCATAGAATCCTTCAAAAAAAAAAGTTTAAAAAAAAGAAAAAAGAAAAAAAGAAGAGTTGACAATACTTTTACATGATTCCTGTCTTAAAAGCTCTCTAACACAGCCTCCCTTTTATTTTATTCTTTTGGAACCAAGTATCAGTGGAATTACTTTTATCAAATACTGGAGAAGAGAACCAAGATTCAGAGAACTGGGTTTCACCAGCAAATAGTATCACACTAACAATTTAAGTTCCATTCTTTACAAATTGTCATATCACACTAACATTTTAAATTGCATTCTTTAAAGTGTCAATGTTTGCTATATATTAAATGGAGTAAAACACGAGCCTATTTCAATAAAACTATTTTAACAAGATTGTGGCAAATTGCTTTTTTAAAGGTGTAACTGCTATCAGAGGGATCCCAAATGCCTCCTCCAAAGTTTTAACCTCAAAGGCAGTAGGAAGGGAAGCTCTAAGTTTAGTTTTATAGTTATGCCCCATTCCTAAAAATACATCTCATGAATGTAGTTACTGCTAAAAAGTTGATAAATATTAGGTATGTACCATATAGCATATATAACATAGATTTTTAAATTCAAAAGGTTTACCTCAGGTAGAATCAGTTACCTAAGAGCTTAAATTAAGAGATCCACTACAAAGTTACCAATAAGGAGAAATCTGTGAGATGCATGAGGACAGAGACTATGAAAACTCATGAAGGATGAAGCTCCAAACTGTTGTCACAGAATTATGCTCAGATGGGCTCTATGCAGTAAGGGGCATGATTAACAAGAGTCTTATTCAAAAGAATTTAGAGAAGGCAACTTGGTAGCTACTTAACCAACAGCTGTAAGTATAACAAATCAGCTGAATTATCTTCAATATACTATCAATATTTAAAAGAAATTCAATAAATGGAAATACTCAATACAAAGTTTCTTTGTTCTCTTACACCTAACACTTTAAAGATACCCTCAAAGGAACCTGAATTCAAAAACGAGCAGGGATCTTTTGCAAGCAGTAGAAACATCAGGCAATTAGGTTTTCCCGAAGAACTCTAAATTTAGAAATTAACAACCCACTTAGAAGTAATTTAAACACTATTATTTAACATAAAAACTTCTCAAACCGTTTTCTTGAAAGTCTCTAAAGTTCCCCCCCCCAAATGTCTCCAAAATTTTAGTTATTTCACACTGCCAAAGCTCCTTTGTTTCAGTACTAACAACATAAACAGTTGGTGTAACTACAATTCTTTGTATTTACCTATATTACTGACTAAAATATTATATATTGTATACTACTGTCACATCCTAAGAGTTCAACAATATGTTGTCGAACTCAACCAAATACAACAGGGGGAAAAAACTGTCATCCTTTCCTATATTCCACATGGACATACCTTGAGGGCACAGCTACAGATAGGTAAAAGAAGGTGACCAGAGTAAATCTACCAGAGGGAACTAAACCACTTAGGGACACTTAATTTAATTCTTTGCAGTTCCTCAAGTAATGACAGTACCTCCCCCTCTGCTGTACAGCTGTTAGCCAGTTACCTATATGGCCTTTACTTTTCCATTTCTTAATTTCCATACTGTTACTCCCTCTGCAGCAGTTTGTATACCTTCCCTGTAACTCTAGTCACACACATTCTGAGGATTACCCATTACAAAAAGAATTCTGGGGGGTCAGTAAGAGCATGCAGCTCTTGATCTCAAATGTTTTAAGTCCGAGCCCCATATTGGGTTTCGATTACTTAAACAGAAAATTCTTAAGAAGAAATTCCAGTTTGAGAAAATAATTCTAATATCAGCCAGAAGTGATCTTTTGGTATTACACAAACTTACATAAACGACAGACTACGTATGAAGGTACATACCCAGTCCACAAGCTATAGTTCATTTCCCCCATCCCCAAATACCTACCTCATTTCCCACCATCTTCTTTCCTCTTGGCTTTTCCTGACTTTTTATTTCTCTTGAAAATTCAGATCACCACGATGATGAATATATAACACTTGTATAATCATCCCAACACTATCTTAATCATCTATTTACTCTACATTAAAAACTTAATACTAAACATCACAGGTTTTTTAGTAACATTTCACACAAAGCCCTCAACATGAAACAGTTCTTGCGAAAACTAAAATCAGCAATCTCTCCAACCCACTGAGCATGCCCTTGTTTGCAATCCTTCAATTGTTAAATATTCTGCAATAACTAATTTTCACTGTTGCTGCATTTAAGGATTTCAGTGCCCTCTAGTTAGTTTACAAAACAGTGACCCCCACCCCAGTGACTTTCAAACTGAAATCATGTTGTATTTATAAATAAAAGCACTAGAGTAGTGAAACTTTAGGCTCAAAAGAAATAAATATCCTTTATATAATACCAGATGAACTTTTCCAGAGTTATGAAGAAAACAGAAATGTAATACACTTCCTCAGTTACCTCATTTTCCCTAAGTTTTACTATCTTAAAACCAAAGTTGGATACAAGAATTTGCCAGTAAACTTACCTTTAGAGGCTTCTCTGTTCCTTAAGTGAGGAGGTATATAGCGTCCTTCTAAAAGAGAAATAGAAAATTAAAGACCCATCCCCATTCACCAAGACACAGCGGTTTACAAAAATATGTATTAAAACATTGATCCTAGGGGCACAAAGGTGGCTCAGTTGGTTCAATGTCTGCCTTTGGCTTAGGTCATGATCTCAGGGTCCTGGGACCCATCACACCCAGCTACCTGCTTGGCGGGGGGGGGGGGGGGGGGGGGGTCTGTTTCTGTCCCTTGCTCTCCCTCTGTGCTCTCTCTCATAGTATCTTGAAAAACGAAAACCCCAAAGAAACACTGATCCTAGAAAACAAACTTTTAAACTATTACTTAAATTATTTTACAGCTATAAAAATAAAATCTAAAAATGGGAAAGCGCTTAAATAATACACATTTTTATGCTACATCTAAAAAAGAGAAAGAAAAAGCAGGGGCAGACAACGTAAGTCTGGCAAATCTGGGAACACAGACTGTAATAAAACCCTCAATCCAAACACATTTCAGTGATGCCTAGCGTGTTTAGTCAGAAGAACACATGACTTCTCATCTCTGGGCATGGAATTCATTAAAAAAAAAAAAAAAAAAAAAAAAGACTATGCTATTTCAAAATGTATTAATTACAAGTCTTAACAAATACAACTATTGCTATAACAAAACTGCCAACTAAAAGAAAAGAATATGCACTAAATCAACTGACCAATTTTAATTAGCTTTGTTTCTACTGTGCCAATATAAAGACCATACAGATGAAATACATATGAAAGCTTTTCATACAGATGAAAGCTAAGGATTCCAAGAAAGAATTAATTTCTTTCTTGTTAAGTGTTAAGATTTCCTAAATTAACAGCCAGCCTATGATAATCAAATAAAAGCATTTAATCTACAAAGTAGAAGGAAGTCAGTGTTAGTATCTAAATTTTAACTAAATCTCTAACTTTTACATTAAGTGTCCCAAACCATTACTATAATTAGATTCTTTGTAAATAAAATAATTATATCCTTATAATATGCACAGAGTAGCAAATAAGATTTAATATGGATTAACCATACTTAAAGCTCTTCAGAGTGTACCCATTGTTTTCCTGAAACAGGGATCCAAGCAGAGATCAGCTACTAAATAATAAAGGGTCAACTGTTTCATTCAAATATTAATCTCTAACAAGCACCAAATGAAACAAAACACTTCTTTCAAAAACCAATCTATTTGGGGCACCTGGGTGGCTCAGTGGGTTAAGCCTGTGCCTTCGGCTCAGGTCATGGTCTCAGGGTCCTGGGATAGAGCCCCGCATCCTGCTCTCTGCTCAGCAGGGAGCCTGCTTCCCTTCCGCTCTCTCTCTGCCTGCCTCTCTGCCTACTTGTGATCTGTCTGTGAAATAAATAAATAAAATCTTAAAAAAACAAAACAAAAAAAAACAAAACAAAAAAAACACAATCTATTCAATTTAATATGGCAGACATTTTAAATTCTAACTATAACCCAAGAAGCAGTAGAGGCTAGTTCTATTCTGAAGTGTCAGGTTCATCTTGAGACAGTTGTAGTAGTAGCTGTAACTGTTCCCTAATATTATTAACACTGTTCAGGTCAGATCAGCAGAGGGATGAATATCCCCATCTCCTTCATGCTTAAGCAGAATTCACAGTGGACATATCTAAAAATGTTGACTATGGGTGCTGGGTGTCTCAGATGATGATCTCAGGGTTCTGGGATGGAGCCCTGAGAGGGGCCCCCTTAGCGGGGAGTCAGCTTCTCCCTCTGTCCCTCCCATCTGCCCCGTGCTCACAAGTTCTCTCTCACAAATAAGTAAAAATCTGAAAAACAAGCAATAAATAAATATGTGACTACGACATTGCATTTCCTTCAAATGATCACAGCTTCCACTCAAAAAGAACCAGTCTCTTATTATACAGATATATTAAAATACTAGAATATTTATACATACATATTTGGCAATAAGAAAATTTTCATTTTAAAATTGCTCAATACAATGAATAACAAGCTGATATTAATTCTTATAAAAAAACAAAAAAAATATACATATATTTTTTTACTTACTGCTCGCTGTACTTCCTCCTCCACTCTGATTATCAGAGGAGTTCAGGTCTAGACCAGCAAACTAGAAGAAAGATATTAACACCTCACATGGTGACACACAATAAATTAAAAAAATCAATTTGCCAAAAAAAAAAAAAAAATCAATCTGCAAAAGACAAATCAGTTCTAAAATCCTGTCCTACCCTGTAGCATTACTGCCCAGTCTGTCTCACATGGTTTTAAGAATGCCTTTTAAGGGGGGCCTGGGTGGCTCAGTGGGTTAAAGCCTCTGCCTTCCATTTGGGTCATGGTCTCAGGGTCCTGGGATTGAGCCCTTGCACTGGGCTCCCTGCTTGGCGGGGAGCTTGCCCCCCCCCCCACTCCGCCTCTCTGACTACTTATATCTCTGTCGAATAAATAAATAAAATCTTAAAAAAAAAAAAAAAAAGAAAAAAAAAATGCCTTTAAAGTCTATGGGGGGGGGAATCTATAAGGCAATACAGATGCCAACAGTGTAACTAGTTACAGATGTTTCCAATACATTCATCTCTCAAACAGGTTCTTTGTAACAATTTTCCAGAGCAAAATGCTCTTCAATCACAAAACTAATTTGTTAGTAACCCCCCCCACCAGTGGTTTCCCACTTATTATTTGCATAACTTTAAAATTCTACCTGGTAAAAATTCTACCTGGAGAATATTAGGTCAATTTGGAAATTCATTAGAGTCTTTATCTCTAAAGACTGTGCCAACTATTTTTACTTTGGATAAATAACAAGGTAGCAATACCACCACCATCAACTACCACCTTTGAGTACTGTGCAACTTACATTCCATTAATACTGGCCACACTGAAGGCCAGTGAATGAAGTAATACTGAAGGCAGTATTTACTTCATTTTAGAAAGAAGACAAATTCAAAGAGATTGTTCCTTATAAAGGTACTAAGTAATAAAATAATATCCAAAGCTTTTTGAAGACTTTCTTTAATCTCAATTACTACTTATCCGCTCAATAACACATTTCAACACAATAGAAAAAAAAGGTTATTTAGGGTCACCTGAGTGGCTCAGTGGGTTAAAGCCTCTGCCTTCCATCCGCTCCGGTCCTGATCCCAGGGTAACTGGGATCCAGGCCCGCATCTGGCTCTCTGCTCAACAGGGAGCCTGCTTCCCTTCCTCTCTCTCTGCCTGCCTTTCTGCCTACTTATGATCTGCCTACTATCCAAAAAAAAAAAAAAAAAAAGGTTATTTTGCTTTATCAGGTTTTGTTAATTAATCCAAAACTTTCAAGCAGAAAATTTAAAAGCACAAAACAAGACAGCAAAGTGGGTCCCTGCATGTTTGAAAAAACGAAAAACAAGAAAATAAAAAAGTTATACAATAACATTTGCAAACACTAGAAATCCAAGATATTACCAATTACATGCACCACTAAGATATTAAATAAATTATCACAACTTTTCCGGCCGTAATTTGCTTACTAGTAAATTCTAATGACCCAGACAGCAGTTTATCAAAAGTTTTAAATCGATTCTAGCAACACAGGAAATGTTACAAATGAGATTTCTTATTCTTTTGATTTCAAATTTTCAATTTTAGAGGTTTTTACATGATCAAGCTTCAGCAGAATGCAGGCTTTAATATAACTATAGTTAGTGGAAAATACCAAGAAGAAGTAAACCAAATCTTTCAAATGTACTACATGAAACATTAAAATGTAGAATCAGTTTTTAGTAAGGATTCAGTATTCAGGAATTCGTCAAATATTTTTTGCGGAAGGTTTATACCCTAATTTATTTCCCTCAGTTAAACGAGCAAGCTGTTCACTTTAGAGTCCGAACGATTCAATTAAGTTTCTCTAGGAAGTATACCGCAGTAAAACGAAAATTTCTCCTTCTACGGAGAATGAACCTGTTATCTCTCGAAGATCACGACTCCTTTTTCGCACTAACACCTCGAAGTAAAAGGCAGTGTCTTTCAAGAGGAAAAGCCTTTTGACCCATTTCAATGTCTTTACTCAGGCGCGACAAAATTAGTAACAACTTTACTTCCTCCACCAAACCACTTTTCGAGTATTTTTGCCGAGATGCACTCCAAAGTCCAACTACTAATCTATGCGTATGTAAAACACATAGTACCATAAAGAAAAAAATCCACAATGCTGGACTAAATGGCCTTTCAGTGACGCTCTGAATTAAGTAAAGGGCAATTCTAGATCTCTAACCTTCCAAGCGGTTACCCGCCAGCGTCCAATTTCCATTATTTCCAACACGGGTTAAGGGAAGCCCGGTGCTGCCATTCTTCCCTCCCTTCCCCAGTATGCCTTTCCGGCTCTTCTGCGTCACAAAACTTTCCACTCCGGAAACACGAGTTCACCATCCGCAGCAGTAGGCTGCGATAGTCTGGCGACAGAAACCCCCAAAGTAAACAAGACAAATGATTCGTCGACTTTTGTGAAGTCAGTCGTTAGAACCAGGTCTGTTCTCTAAGCGTGGTGCAACGGTGCGCTACCCTGCAGTCGGAACAAAGGAGACCGCCGCCATTACCCTGAAAGCCCCTCCTTCCCTCCTGTTCCCACCATCTCTCCCCGCCCCAGTCCGTGGCTACAAACTACTCTTCCCTTAGATATCAACGGCACCTCTCAGCCAGAATCAGTGTCATCCAGTGAAAAATCAAACCCCTCAGATAAATACATGAATCCCTTACGCGGACTTCCCTCTGATCGCTAGTCAGCCAATGCTCGCACATGCGCATATCTAAGAAAGCACCAACCGCCACAAAAGCCGCCATTGTGCGTGGCCAGAATACAATACCTCCGCCCAAGTATCAGCTATTACTGACATGACTGTTAACGCCTCATTTTGTTCGCCACCGCACCTCTACCTAGTTTCTTTTTCCGTCCGCCCACAATCCCATCCGTAACAAGTCATACATAACAAAATAGGGAAATAAAGGTGACTAGATACTACTGCGCCATATAAGCCACGTTAAACCAAGAAAAAGGTCCACACAGACAGCCTCGGGACGCATATTTCCACTTACCTGCTGGTCCAGCCCGAGCGCATTTTCCACCGCCACATGACTCATGCCTGAAGGAAAACTCGGGAGTTTCCCAACCGCAAGTGTACCGTTTCAGAACACTCCCGCCCTCAGAGGAGAACTAAAAGCTCTCTGAAGTGCACTGCTTGGCCACGGCCGTAATATATCAACACGACTTTACGTCAGTACGCAGGCCTTGCGTCTTCCTCCTCAACCCCCCCCCCCCCCCCAACCAACCCTTTTATCCCTACCGTTACTTCTGCCTGGCTAAATCACGTTCGTTTAGTCATAACATCGCGGGAACTTCTAGTCCGACTGTCCCGTAAAGGCTCTCAGACTTCGCGAGAGCTTTATTTTTTCCTCCCTCCCCCAATGTCTTGGAATTCCTGGAAGCAAGCGGGAACTCGCCTTTTCCTTCTTTCCACGACTTGGGAGATACTAAACATACCGCCTTTGTATCTCTTATCTCACCCTCCCACCCTCCACCCTCCTAGTTTCCCTCCTTCTACGGCTTTTCCCTTTTCTTTCAGTTACTGGGATCGGAAGTTTCGTAAAAAGTCTGTTCTAACTAGTCCCCACCCGCTTTTGGGCAGTTTCCCAAAGTCGTAATTAGTAAAAAAAACTCCGGAAGCAGAGAAGGTTGAGGGCCACGTGACCCAAGGTGTGAGGAGTTTTGGCCATTTTGTAGATGGGTCGACGTTGGCTTTAGTAGAATCCGTTGGCTGTACGAGCTAAAGAAGAGGATGTGGGCAGAAGGAGTCTGCAGAAGGTGGATGTGTCGGGGTAAGCGGAGGGGAATCGGCAGCACTTGCGGGCGCCCGAACTCCGCCCGGCTTGAGCTTAGGCTGCGGGGGTCTTAGCCAGGAACCCAAGGCCCCTCCAGTTTCCTAGCTGCGACTGTGCGTTTCAGGCCGGTACTGCCTCTACGTCACGTAGTGAGGCAACAGTGAAACAATTAGACCATCAATGACGCTGATGAAAAAGCACCTTTCTGGGGACCTCCCATACACACCCCTCCTTACCCCCCACCCTGCCGTGATTCAGGCCTGTTGGGGCTTTTTGTTTTCCCCAGGGCTCTAGATCTTGCACGCAGTGGTGGTGCACTGTTTACCCAAAGACAGGTGTCTTGGAGATTGTGAACGACCCACTGGGGGTCCAAAAGATAAGGACTGGTTCTGGCTGGGGGGAATCGGCCTGTTGAAGGAGCTGCGAGGTCTCTTGATCTATGATTAAAGTGACCCTCAGATTGCCCTGGGGTGGGGTGGGAGTGAGAAGTGTTAAGAATGTGATCTACAGTCCTCGGAGGAATCACTTCCTTTGTCCCTCCTATCAGGCCCTCAATCCAGATTCAGTTCCATGGCCCTTGAAATGGGAAAAACAAAAAGAAAAAACCATTAAAACCCGTTCATTGCGTAGTTTTTTACTGTAGCAGCTCGGTATCCGTGATCCTAAAAATCGCTCTTCCTTGCCTCCTAGGGAAAGAGTATCATAAACAATTTTAACCCCATTTTTGTAGGATCACCTACTGTTAGGATTCAAATGGCTCCATTATCGTTTACCACATAAAAGACCTTTTTGTTTTTCCTTTTCAAAATTTGAACGTTCAGGGGTGATTGGATTAAGTTGCTTTACTGCTTTTTCACCTAGCTAAATTAGATAACTTTTTTTTTTAGAAGATTTTTTTTTTGAAGATTTTATTTATTTCTTTGACAGAGACAGATCAGAAGTAGGCAGAGAGGAAGGCAGAGAGAGGAGGAAGCAGGCTCCCTGCTGAGCAGAGAGCCCGGTGCGGGACTCGATCCCAGGACCCTGAGATCATGACCTGAGCTGAAGGCAGAGGCTTCAACCCACTGAGCCACCCAGGCGCCCCTAGATAACTTTTTTTATACCAAATATTTGATAATGACACTATATCATTCTGAAATTAAACTCATCCATAGTGTAAGTCAAACCCATTCATGTAATGTTTCCGCTTCAAAACAACCTAATTGTGGGGCGCCTGGGTGGCTCAGTGGGTTAAGCCTCTGCCTTTGGCTCAGGTCATGGTCTGGGAGGGGGTTGTCCAGCCAGGCATGGGGCTCTCTGCTTAGTGGGGGGCCTGCTTTCCCCAACCCCTTCTCTGCCTGCCTCTCTGCCTTGTGATCTCTGTCTTGTGATCTCTGTCAAATAAATAAATAAAATCTTCTTTTAAAAATGACCTAATTGTGGGGCGTCTGGGTGGCTCAGTGGGGTAAAGCCTCTGCCTTCAGCTCGGGTCACGATCCCAGGGTCCTGGGATTGAGCCCCAAATTGGGCTCTCCGCTCAGCGGGGAGCCTGTTCCTCCTCTCTCTCCCTGCCTGCCTCTCTGCCTACTTGTGATCTCTATCTGTCAAATAAATAAAAAAAAATCTTTAAGAAAAATGACCTAATTGGGGCACCTGGGTGGCTCAGTGGTTGGGCCTCTGCCTTCGGCTCGGGTCATGATCTCGGGGTCCTCGGATCGAGTCCCGCATCGGGCTCTCTGCTCTGCGGGGAGCCTGCTTCCTCCTCTCTCTCTGCCTGCCTCTCTGCCCACTTGTGATCTCTCTCTGTCAAATAAATAAAATCTTAAAAAAAAAAATGACCTAATTGTAATACAAAGAAATAAGAGGAAAATTATACTTGATAAAATACTTTAGAATATGAAATAACCTGTACTAGGACACTAGTAATAGTCAAGCGCATCAATATTTAGCCATTGATACAATGTGGTCACAACTCGGGGAGGTAAACAGTTCTGGTAATTTTTTCCAGTACAAACAATAAAATACAAAAATGCAAACTTAACAATACAATTTACCTTGAATAATACAGTCTCATTTCTGAAAAAAATCTACTATGTGGAGTCTAGTAAGAAATGTTGTGTTTGGGGGCGCCTGGGTGGCTCAGTGGGTTAAAGCCTCTGCCTTTGGTTCAGGTCATGGTCCCAGGGTCCTGGGATTGAGCCCCACATCAGGCTCTCCGCTCCTTGGGGAGATTTGCTTTCTCCTCTCTCTCTCTGCCTGCCTCTCTGCCTATTTGTGATCTCTGTCAAATAAATAAATCAATCTTAAAAAAAAAAAAAAGATGTTGTGTGTGCATGGAAAGCGCAGTCTGACAAATAGTATTTTCATGTATGGCAATAATCTTTTGTGAAGAACTTTCCACTGCATTGTGGAACATGTAACTACTAAAATGCTAGTGGCCCTTGCCAGTCACTGTGATAATCAAATTGCTTACACTAATTTGGAAAATGCTCTCTAGAGAAGCAGAAACATTGGTGGTCTTTAGGGTCTTTTCCAACTCTTAAACTGGTGATCTCAAATGACAGAGCCGTTAGTGAAGTGTATTCTTGTTCTCATTGATGCAGTGTTCTTTGGGAGTCAAAGAATGAATCTCACAGACAGGTGGAAGTGAAGTAAAGCTTATTAAGTGAAGGTAAGAACAGAAAGGAAAGAAAAGGAACTCTCTAGAGTGAGAGGAGTCCAGAGTGGGTTGCTACTTAGGGGTTTTATGATCAGTCTTTTATAGAAAAGTGATGAAGGACCTTCCTAAAGATCTTTTAAGACAAACAGGGTGGATTTGTAAATATCATGAGACTATCTTGTCTATATTTATTTATTTTTTTATTTTTTAATTTTTTAAAAATATTTTATTTATTTGACAGAAAGAGAGATCACAAGTAGGCAGAGAAAGAGGGGGAAGCAGGCTCCCCACTGAGTAGAGAGCCCGACATGGGGCTCGATCCCAGGACCCTGGGATCCTGACCTAAGCTGAAGGCAGAGGCTTTAACCCACTGAGCCACCCAGGCACCCCATCTTGTCCATATTTAGAACAAACAATGTCATTGGGACTCCTGGGTGGCTCAGTCAGTTAAGCATCTGCCTTTGGCTCAGGTCATGATGCCAGGTCTTGGGATCGACTGTTCTTTGGGCTCCATGCTCACCAGGGAGACTGCCTCCCCCTCTCCCTCTGCCTGCTGCTCCCCCTGCTTGTGTGTTCTGACAAACTAAAATATTTCAAAAAAAGAAAGAAAGAGCAAGCAAGTTGGATTCGGTTTCTTCCCTTCACTCTGGTTAATATTATAAGGTTTTATAGGCAAGATGAACATGACATCAGGTGAGGTAGGCACAAGGCAAGTTTTATTAAAGTCACTCTCCGGCGAAGTTTCAGGGCTCAGGAGAAGGGGAGCCAGGAAAGTCATGCCAGGAGGAGGTGGGCACCCTCGGAGACTCTGCAGAGTCGGGGAAGTTGCGCTGGGAGGGAGTCGGTGGGAGTCGGAGGTAGAGCATGGGCTCACATCCATATATGGTAGGGTATTTGGTGATGGGAGGGTTTGGGGTGGGGGGTCCTGATACTTCTGTTTCCTGCACAGCTATAGGGTTACCTATGGAGACGTGACCTGGGCGTACATCCTTTTGGCGGGAGAGTCAAGGGTTAAGGAAAGGGGTAGGGGAGGAGGCTGGAAGATGGTGCTCCTCCTGCACTCCCAGAGGCGCCGACCCAACAAATATCTCACTGATAACATTTCTCCACAACTGGTATTTCTCTGTGTCTGGTAAGGAGCCCTCCTGGTGAGCCTAGCAGCGCTCTACATGTCTCTCCCTCCATAGCCTCATCTGTCTCTCACTCATCATTTCTTTTTCATGTAGACCAAAGAAAACGTGAGTCTAAGATTCAGAGGCTACCATTGCTCTTTTAGCTGTATGTGCTTTACAATAATAGGACATAATGACTATCCTGTCTCTAGGCCTTATTTTACTTTTGGATAGTGTTAGACTGCAGGTAGTGGCGATGGAGTACCTAAAAAAGGTAAAAAAAAAAAAAAAAACTGAGTAAGTTTGTAGATCTAATTGGCTTCACTGAGTAATTCAAGAGTCGGGCGCATACCGTCTAACAAATATAAAGAAACTGCCAGGAACTGTACAAAGTAAATGCCTTTTATATGCTGAAGCAAGCAGAAAAACTGAGTGGTTTATTTCAGGAAAAGTAAACTTCCTTTGGGCAAGGCAGGAGATTTTCATGCAGATTTCATCAATTATACTGATCAGGACATTCCTGATTGACTGGTTTAAGATCACTCCTGGAAGAGGCTGAAACTTGTAATTAGGGTAGATATTAAGTATTGTTTTACTGAATAGGGGGTTAGCACAAATGACTCCTATTGAGTCTGTTGGGTTTTTTTCACAGAGAGAGAGAGAGACGGCAAGAGAGGGAACACAGAAGGGGTAGTGGAGGGAAAGCAGGCTTCACGATGAGAAGGGAGCTCGATGTGGGGCTCAATCCCAGGACCCTGAGATCATAACCTGAGCCAAAGGCAGACGCTTAAGGACTGAGCAACCCAAGTGCCCCATTTTCTTTTTTTAAAATTTTATTTTACTTATTTATTTCAGAGAAAGGGAAGATAAGCAGGAACAGAGGAAGAGAGAGAAGGAGGCTTCCCACTGAGCACAGAGACCAATGTGGGACTTGATCCCAGGACACTGAGATCATGACCTGAGCCGAAGGCAGACATTTAACCACTTCAACTACCCAGGCGCTCTGGGAAGGATTTTTTAAGCATAGAGTTTTGATCAGTGATCTGTATCAGTTTCAGTTTCCCAGAAGTGTTAATCCAGGCACAACATATTGGTTAATAGCACAGATACCTCCATTCTATAATTTAGATTAAAATTAGTGTAAGAATTTTTGTTGAGTAGCTATTGCCTCAGCAACAGATTCTGCACATTCTCAAAAGTTAGGAAGTTATCGATCCCTAACCAGAGAATTAAAGACCTGCCCAAAGGAATGAAATCCTGAGTCATGAAAGCCTCCTGGAAGGTCCTTTCTA